GTGATACAGTGATAGCAGGTATGGAGGTACAGCAAACATCAAATCTACCTATAGTATTTTCTACTGTGTACCAGTCTGAGAACTACCAACCCTGAGTTTCATCTGATACTCCAGTTCAGCAAGTGCCAAATGATCTTCCTTCTTTGCTGTCCTCAAGTATACATCAGCAAAGCCAAGATTCTGCACAATCAACAATCAGATGAATGCTTTGATAGGACTGGGGAAATCTTGGTCTTGATCATCCAGTAAATGAATCACTTGTGCCCTCATTGTCAATGCTTTATCAATGGCAGATGTCATTGATGTGCTGATCGATGAAGTGAGGAAGTTGATTGAGCCTTGTAGGCCTACCACAATAGGATTTGATATTGCAAGAACAATGGGAACAGGAGCTTTTTGTGTAGTCCAAGGTGGCAGAGAGGTTGGTGCATTTGTTGGAGGCAGGAGCAGTAGCAGAAATGTCATTTGCATTGGTGTATGGGACAACAGACATGGTAGTCGAAGCCTCATCATCACCAAGCATCTCAGTGTGAGACCACTTCCCACTAGACAGTGGAGCACTGGATGGAGGGATAGAAATGTCAGATGGGTTGATGGTAGACGGTGGATTGTCAAAAAATGGGAAATGGTCATCGTCCAACCTGGGTGGGACTAGGGGAAGCACTGGCACAGAATCGGCAGGCACTGAAGTAGATATGGGTTTGATGGGTGTGGGAGTGGAGGAGGGTGTGGATTCAGCAGGCACTGAAGTGGAAGTGGTTGGTTGAATGGTTGGCACTCCACCATCTCCATTGTCTAGGCTGTTGGCAGTGGCATTGGAACTATCTGGACTAAAGGCATTGGCCCCATGCTCACCACCATGGGGTATGATATCTGCAATGTAGGGATATAGATCCCATCCACTCGTTTTGAACTGGCAAATGAGGGGGTGACTCTAAGAGTAATTGTCAGTTCATCAAGCCACAGGGTTAAAAAATAAAAATAAAAATACCTTCACAAAATCCTCGAACACCTGCCCAGCATGCTGACCCTGAATATTAGCCCCCTTCTCATTGTCCCAGTGGGCTCTAGATGGTTGTGCTCAATAGTACTCAATATCATGATATATCTTTCGAATCTATGACAGAAGATCAGTAAAAATCACAAGCAGTTTACAACACTGACTTACATAGCCAGTCCACTTGTTTCCCACCACTTGATAGTTCTTAGGAGGTCCATCTGTGTGATAGTTGGCGATATGCAGGGCAGCAGCTTGATATGTAGCCATCTTGAAGTTCCCATTATTGCCCACCTCATGCTGGTTGTCATGCAGGAACCTTACAAGAGCAGCAGTTTCTTCATGGTTCCAATGAACTTGTGGAGTGGGAGTGCTAGTCTTATTAGGCATCAAGTGAGTTAGTGAATCCAGAGTGTACTGGGATATGAGGGCAACAATGGCAGCAGCTGATACCCAGGCAAGCCTAAGGTGATCCAGATCATCATAATCCATCACAGGACATGTTCCAAACTCAATTCAAACTCACTACGCAAACTGCCCCAGTGGAAAAACATGTACAAGCATTGAAGGAACTAATTGCAACTTACCCAAGGTTTCTGAACTAGCTCTAAAGCATTCTGACACATGAAAATGCCACTACAGTCTTGGATGGGCAGCACACCATAATCCATATCTTGATATGCCTGCACCTGCATCCAGCATGATCCTGGAACAATAGATATTCAGCAATTTATGTCAACACTGTAGACCCAATGTTATTAATTACCACTGCAAGTGAACTCTATCATCATCTGGGTTTATGTACCAGACTCTCTTGACCATCTCTGCAAACTCACAAAAACCCTGACACCAGATATAGGCAAACCATCCCTTCAGAACAGGTTTCACCACCTAATCCATGTCAAATAACATATCCAGAGGCAAACATTGGCTTACATTGGCTAATAGTTGGTCCACTTCTGAACAGATTCCATGCCAACAGAACCACAGGATCTATAATGAATAAATGATCAGCTTCAGATATTGTGAGTGGAAGATATCTTTACTTTTCCTGTTGTACCCTCCTCAAGAGCTCGTCACTCCTCTTCATGCTCTGCAGCTTGCAGGGTCACTTGGAGTGCTACAATCTCTTGTACCATGGAATGGATATCAGCCTTTCTGTAGTGTCCAGGAGTTGGTCTACTGAGTGTCAATGGATGGTACCAACTGTATCATGATCACTGTGGTCTACTTGATCTGTTCATCTGGAACCAGGACACAAGGAGTGGTACAGTGCACAAATAATGTGCAGGAAGATGAGTACTCACATGTTGCCCCTCAATGCAATGAGTAAGGCAGTATGGATGCATTTGAGTAGCTTTTGATGGTTAGAGTGAACCACTTAACTCCTTTTCACTGATAATAACACTTACCCCAACACTAAGTGTTTGGGATATGGACTCTACATCACACTGCATGGTTCACCTCTCACGAAGTGACGAGCAGTGAAATGCATCAGGATCATTGTGCTTTTGGAGTAAAGAAGGTGCCACTGCTTCATGGTGTGTGTTCTGCCATGGCTGCAGTCAGCATTCAAATAGATTCTATGTCACCACTGTACTGACAAACATTGGATTAGATGGGTTAACCAATGAACCACATCCTATATTGTGATGTAAATTTGCCAATGAACATACATGACATGGTGGACTGACTTCCCATAGCACCTACAGAACCCTCTCTGTGCAATCAAATTTCCATTATCAAGGGGAGCTCTTCAAAGAACATTATCTGACCAACCTACATTCTACTTGGATGAACCAGTGGAGGTAACACAGAATAAACATGAACAAGATTTTTCAGGTGATCTAATCCAAACATGGCAGAGAAGTCAACCACACTGTTTTTCCTCTGTTCATCCTGATATCATTGTGAGGATACACTTGAGTGTTTCACATAGTTATCTGATGCACCACAAACTTGTGACAAGATTCAATACCTGCATGGTGACACTGGGGATAACAGGATTAGGCAGATTAACCCATCTGACTGACAAGCAGTTACCAGGTTCAGCAAGATACAGAACTGTTCCCTGTGTTTTGAACATGGTATCAGGTGTGTTACACAAAATGAGCTACACAGCAGTCACCTAATGTTTTTGAAATGTTCCCTTCTCCATGCACAACCTGGTGGTCCATGCCAAGCTAGTGGCATTGCAAATGTGCATAGGACAGTGGAGGCACCTGAGTCGGTGGACTGCACATTCAACACTGGGTAACAGCCAGGGTCATAACCAAAGTAAGACCATCCTTTGGGTGAACTCACAACCATAGAACTCCAAACATTGTATGACTGTTGTCATGCCTGCAAGACTGGTGGACAAGGCTTTCAATTGCAGCTCAAATTCTTTGCTGTTTGGAAGCAAGAGACCCAGAGGTTGATGCAATTCCCAGGTTCCACCCCAACTAGATTCTATGACAATAACAAGCTGAGCCTGCACTTGTCATGCCAGATCTCTGCAGCTGGATACACAAAAGTCGACTGGCCAATAGACTGAATTCATGGGATCAATACCAAGTTCCTGCATATCTTTGAATATGTTCCCATGACATTCAAAATGATTGTTAGAAAAGTCACCATCATCACCCAACTATTTTTTGTCAGGCTCACCACCAGCCCAAAGATATCTGTTATGACTCACTGCAATCCCATGACTAGAACACTTGTTAAGCCATACACATTGTTCATCCAATTGCAAACTGGGTCTATGTGTTTTATGTTGCTGCATCCATGGGAGCCACAGTTCACAATCCACCTATGGCTATGTGGCTGGTTAGATCTGAAGGCATGTAGGGGAGAAAGTACTGATGGGCATATACATGTCAAGTGGCCCAGTACAACAACCAGGACAATAATCGATGTCAATCATCAGGTTGGTGGTGCTGCTATAGTCTTTGTCGCAGACAATCCTTGCATCCCAAATGGAATGAGGAAGATGAGTGCTCCTGATAATGCATTCATCATAACAGAACTCATTGATAGGTGTGTTCCACAGGAAATCATATGCTTGCTTGGCAAAGTCTGCCCACAACAACAAGTTGTCTAGATTTGTAGAGTTTTCATCACAGACAATGTGTGCCCATACTTGACCAAGGTTATATCCAAGTCTGACTGCAAAGAGAAATTTGGCATTGCTGTTGGCATATACTAAAACAATGAGAGTGTTTCCTTAGTATGAGAGTGTGACAGTATTGCCTGCAATACCAAATGGGAAGGTGCCACAAAGGGAGAAACCATGCCATGAGGTGCATGTATCATGGAGCCTGATATTGTGGTGGCCTTCCTCCTCGATGTCTTGAGAGTAATCAAGATAAAGTGTCCTAAACTCTGGGCATATGCTGTGAATGCATGCAGCACTGAAATACCTGCCACAGTAAGAGGTAAGCATGAGGGATTGCAGGTCGACGGTGACCAGCTTCTCATAACAGTCACAACATGGCAACACTGCCCTGAAGTGGGATTCATGGTCACAGTGGGGTACAGTGGGCAACCATACTTGGATGCCCACATTAGTGACATTAAATATGAAAAGTTGGGGGGAGACTGTACCATGGTTCAATGAATCGAGTTTTCCCACTGGGTCTGGCCCCAAGTCGAGCTCATTCTGGTGTATATACTCCTCTAGTTCACCAAAGAACTTGAAGGGATCCATGTTTTTGATATCATGACAACCTTGGAAGCAACTTGGGTTGTCTGCCAGAACACTTCTGTAGTCCCTAAGGCATCCCTTCAAATTCCATGCAAATATGCTGTGATCACCACATTCTTGGATGATTTCTAGCTGGAGCTGCTGGAATGCTTGTGAGCCCTCCCCATACAACATTGGCATTTTCATGCTGAATAACCCCAACAGCGAATACACTCGATCTTCCACTCATGTCGTCTTCTGGTCAGCAGCCCAAGACATCATTTGAGCAATGTTGGGCCATGGCCACAGTCCACATCTCAAAACCTCCTCTGGAATTCATGTAATGGCCTCTAATAGGGATGCCCAGTTCTCTTTTGTGCCAATGGACACCCATTTGTTGTTGAAGAATTTGACTTTCCTTGGAGCAATGAGCTCCTGAAGTGTCCAGCCACGAGAAAACCACTCGGGCCAACCATTAGAACTGCCAAACCTCTTGCTGTCTTGCTTAGTAGGAAAGGCAGGTTCATTGATATTGTTGAGGTACATGTAGCACTTCTGCAAGTTGTGGTACCATCAATACATTGAGTTGATCACCTCTGAGAGTTCCACACTGCTTCGCTTGTCAATACAACATGTATCAATCCACAACCACTTGTAACCATCTGCCTTGGCCCATTTGCAACTCTTGATGATCTTCTGGTAGCCATCCTGCTCCCTGATGGTGAACCACTTCAGTATGTTCATTGCAGCCAGTCCAGTTATCTCATCATAAGTGACCTCAGTTCCCCAGCAGTGTGAAAGTATGGCATAACTTGTCCTCTTGTTGTTGAGTTCCTCCAGGATCTCAACTTTGGGGTCCACTCATTGTATATCCTGTTCTCGGTTCAGAATGGCCACAACATTTAGTAGTCACACCTTTCTAAGGAGTAAATAGAAAGCATGAAGTTAGACTGACAACTATAGGTGCATCACACATACAGCTTAGGTATCCGAGACAATTGCGACCCCAGTTAACAGAATGGTGGAATGGGTTCTGCTGCGATTTGGTGGTGTGGTTGGGGTTGAGGGGTGGGCCAGAGTTACTTAGATTTTAGGGCTGTCTGGGTTTTGGTTTGGTTGGCAGACCATATCTCTCCCACTGGAGGGAAGCAAAGTGGCTCTTATAGATAAGGTTCACTTATGTTTCTGCATGACATTCCTGATTTGGAATACTGCCATCTTATCACGTGACATGTAGGGGGGTGCTTGGACAGCTGAAATGCCCATTCACCAACCTCACTGAAAATGGCAATAATCCACTCAATCGTCTAATCTCTCCATCCACTGATTTGCTTCCTTGCCTTGTATGCTAGTTAGCATATGGATGAGGCATATACTAATAAACCAATAGCTCAATGTGCGATGCGCTTAATCAATGTAGCAGCCTTTCTGGAGTTTGAAACAGGGAAAACTTGTTTGGATGCCAGGCTACTGGTGGAGATTTATAGTCCAATGCTTGAGGAAATGGGATTTGCCATACTATCTCACTGCTGGGGTGACCCTGTGGATGAGGTACAGTACATCGATATTGAAGGACTTACGAAGATGGATGATGCTGCCAGAGACGAGATACAGGGGTGCAGTGGGTACAGGAAAATACTCAATTGTTGCAAGCAGGCCTTTCATGATGAATTGCTCTGGCTCTGGGCAGACACATGTTACATTGACAAGTGGTGTGAGTCAAAGTGTGGAAAGCTGGTATAAACCAAACAAATCCAACACCAAAGACAAATGTAGAGCAAGTGGTGGTGTACCTCTGTGGAACCTGGAGTGCAGAAAGACCTAATTGTGTGGGGGGACTTCAAGTGGAGGGTGCTCCTAGTGCAAGTCATTGACAAGTTACACAGGAGAAGATGAATGAATACTGATTGAGAAGGAGATGCTGAATGGAGCAAGTGTGTTCAGCTGAAAGGACTTCTGGAATGTTGGACCTTGATAAAATGTGCTCCTGGTGCAAGTTGTTGATGAGTTACACAGGAGTGGAGGGATGACTAAGTGAGACTGCTGACTAAGAGTGGAGAAAGCTTCAGATAAGTGATGGAGGCAGATAGACCCCTTTGTGGAGCCTCAACTACCAATGATACAAATGGAGACAGATAGACTCTTCCAAATGAGCCTCAACTGTTGACAACAAGTTATGCACTGAAAGAGCTGAACTGACTGCTGAGTGACTTCTTGATTGCTTCTGGTTCACTTGGGGGTAGCTAAGTACATGGGGGTTTATATACTGTGGGGGGAGCACAGCTTGTGACAAACAGGGCACAAATGTTTGGTAAGTAATGAGTAAGGACTGAGTAATCATGATGAGTAAGTGAGAAATGAAAAGTAAGCAAGCAAAGAAGATTGGTAAGTATTGGCAATGAACAAGTCAAGGACAGTCAAAATATCACAGAATGAGTCAAATGGAGTCAGAAACTGAGTAAGCGCACTGATATCACATTAGGGGGTGGCAATGCAAGTCAGATCTTGGCGGAGACATCTCTAGACCCAAAGATGGCATGACAGATGGGCAGTGTTTCCAGACAGGGGAGTATTAATTCCAGAATTGAAGGGCATGAGTCAGGTGTCAAAGGGGCTAGGGCATTGGGGGTCTGTGGGGCAATGAGAGCATAAGTGATTGTGTCTCCCACCCTTTCATCCTCTTAGTGAAGTTAACAAAAACTTCATGAACAGGGCTCTGATGGAGGAGGAGAAGGGGGGATGTCTTCTGCTGGATCTTGCAGTAAGAAGGCAAGATGCAGGTCATACCTGTCATGAATGTGATCAGGGAGGCTGGAGAACAATAGATTATGCTGCAGCTGTCACAATGTGGGAAGAATGATGGATGAGACTGGAATACAGACAGTGCAGGGAGCAGGGGGGAATGATCCATATGCTTCATCAACTGGGGAGACTGAAATGACCACATAAGACCTTTCTAACCAAGTGACAGACCTGAGGCAACCAAAGAACATCCTTCTGGAAGTCATACTGACAAGGAGAACATGCTGACCAAGCTGCATGGGATGAGATGGTGTAGGGAGTAGTATACTCCCTGAGGCCAAAATAGGGATGCCAACACCAAAATTCCACTGTTACTATCCACATCTGTCATCTTCAGAATTATTCCATCTGCCTTGTGTGCCGCCTCACCTGTCAAACCTTTGGAGCTCCCCTGTCCATCAATAACACACACCAGTCATTGTCCTGAAATTCTGTGTCAACATCAACCTGACATACATCTATCTGGAATTCTGCAGTTGTGCCACTTCAACCCTTGCCTCGCCATGTAGCTGGGCAGCCACACAGAACATCAGTAAAAACTCTGGTTACCCCTCTTGTTCCTTTCCTGCGAACCTTTCTCTACAATGCGAGAACCCCTTTCTACCTATGGCCTCTACCCTTCGCATTCCACTCTACAGTGGAACAGTGTGGAACGATGATCCTCTCTTGAATAGTGTCCTCCTGCTGTACAGTGCTTGTGTAACCTAGTGTTCCTACCCCACTCTATGCCCACATCTTGTCTCTGCTGACCAATTGTCTGCAGCTGTGTCCTACACCCCTATCCTGCCTCCCCTGCTCCATGTGCCCCCTTTTAAACATGACGACATCCTCATCATCTGTTAACTCGCTACACAACTCCTCCTGTGTGCTGTATGTTCTTCCCCATTTGACTGCTCCCAACATTGCCCCTTCCTCTCTTCCAGGTGCCTGCTCTCCATCATCGTCGTTGTCGGTGTCTGTTTCACTGTCCTCTTCACCTCTTTCGGCCTCTGATTTGCTTCCTCTGTCTGCGTTCCCTCTCTCTTCCCTTGCCGTCCCTTCTGGTATGTCTTGTTCTGTTTCCATGCTTTGTAGTGGTGCTAGGTGTTCTTGTTGATCCACATGTAGTTGTGTTCCTTCTCTTGCCATGAATGTGCATAGTCTTTGTGTGCTAAACTCCCCCAGGACCAGTCTGCCCGTTAGGGTTTCTAACCTGTAAGAGTTTCTTAGTTGTTCCACGATTCTGTATGGGCACGACCACTTAGGTAATAGCTTCCATTCAGTCTTGAAGGTGTAGTCCAGGTCGCTTCTGTATACTTGTACCAGTTGTCCTCTGGTGAATGCGGCTTCTGCTCCTTGTTTTTGTAGGACACAGTGGTCAAATGCTTTTTTTCTTTTGATGGCATGTCTTACCATTTTGTTGTACCCATCGAGCCATTGTTGTGCTGCATATGCCATGTGTATTGCTGCATCCACTGGTGATGGTGCTGTGCTGCTGTGTGTCAGTGCCATGTGCTTGGTGTTGATGACCAGCCCCAGTATGAGTTCTTTGGGGGAGAACTTGAGCAAGGGCAATATATGGTTGTTCAGTGCCTGGACCGCATTGTCGAGGTGGTCTGGCCATGTCCTTGGTAGTTTTTCCCAGTCGGTTTCAGGGTCATCGTCTTCTCCTACATTTGGTGCACATAGCCATTTGAGGATGTGTAGCAATAGCTTGTTTGTACCTTCCACTAGTCTGTTAATCCAGGTAAGTATGCAGCAATAATGTGGTGGGTGCAAGACCACTTAGTGCAGTATGTTTTAACCGTTTCATTGTCAAAGTGGCATCCTCCATCTGTCATGAACATTTCTGGCACTGTAAAACTGTTAAAGATAGTTGCTAAGCTGTTTACTGTGGTTTTTGCTGTTCTGGTGGTCTTGATCTTCGTTACCCAGAGGTGTTGGGAAAACGTGTCCAGGAATAGTCCAAGTGTGTGGTACCCTCCTTTGCCCATTGGGATTGACAGGTAGTCACCTACCAGTAGTTCAAACAGGTGCCATCTTGTTATTGGCTCGAGCAATGTGTTTAGCTTCGCTGTGCCAAAGTTTTTGCACTTCGCACAATCCTGTATCGCTTTCATTATGGTGAGGTCCAGTTTGGGTGCATAGTGTTTGTCCGTGAGGGCTAACTTCATCGCATCCCTTCCCCAGTGTCCTCCTGACTCGTGTTGGCATTTCGCTTCTTTGAGTGCCTCTGCTCTCATAATGCATTCTACCTTGTGTCTCAGTCATATGCTAGTGCCGCCTTTTAGCTGCCATAGTTTACCTTGATCTACCAGGTACTGTGTTGACTTGTGTCTCGCTCTGTTGTGGTCTCTTACAGGGGTGTTTGTGTCAACATTGAGTATCATGTCTATTACTTCCATGAACAATGGTTCATGTTGGAAGCATTCTCGTAGTTGCTGATTTTCCTGTGATAGTTTAGTGATCATGAACATGTCATTTACTAAACCTGATGCTGCTTCTGGGTCTGGGCTGACTGTCCAGTCACTGCCATCTTCATTTGTGCAGGCTGTGTTGTCCCATTGGCGGCTTAGTCCATCTGCTACTACGTTCAGATGTCCCAGTATGTGTCTTATGGCTATTATATTGTGTGTGACTATGCCGTCTCGCCACCTTGTGTGTGCAGCTGATATTGAGCTGTTGGACAGGACATCTTTTAGTGCTTTGCAGTCAGTTTCAATTTCTATTGGGTATCCCCAAATTATGTCTGTGAAATGGTCCAGGCCATATTTTAGTGCTGCAAATTCTAACAGAAATGGTTTGTAGTTTCGCTCAGCTGATGAAGTTCTTTTGGACACGAATGTGATGGGTACTGGTCATTCTACCATTTTGCTGTTTGATGCCTGAACTTTTGTTTTTTGTGTTAGTACTGCCCTGAATCCTTCTTGGCATCCATCTGTGGTTACGATGAACAGTGTGCC